TGACGCTTCATGCCAAGTGAATGACAATGGAAAGCTCAGTGATGCCTTTGAGGTGAAGATAGGGGACAGGAGTAAGGCAAAGTTGCCGCCTACTATCACCGATGATCTTCCTGATTGTGGTTGACTAGACTGAACTGGATCATGCAACAGAAAACTATGAGGACCGATAAGAAGCCAACGACGAGTTGGGCATCCAAGTGTGACATGGAGGACATCGTGTGAGGACGAAATGAAAGCCTATGGGCAGTGGTGAAGCTAGGTTAAAAGACTGTGGAGAACAGAGTGAAATAGCGACGTGGTACCGAAGCCTTTTGTTCCATTAGGAACTTAAGGGACAAATAATAATAATCATGTCTTCCCAATAGAATCTCGGAAAATCTCATTTCGAAGGAAGTCACTAGTAAGCACCTGACAGTAATTCCATTCGGAGGTCTATGAAGATTGTATTGATTTCAAGTTGTTCCTCGAATCGATACATAGCAGAGTCATGGGTTGCATACTACTTTTATACATTTTTGTTTCCGTCCCCCTAACTTCCTTAATTTTGATCAGAAACAAGTGCTATATTGATGATAAGACTATGACATATTGAGATGATGCTGAAGAGTAATTGTAGCTCAAGAGGATGATTTTGATAATTTTGTGTTCTATTAGGTGAGTAATGAATGAACTGTGAGGCTTTCACTATAATCTTGACACAAACTTCATAAATTCCTGCTAATGATATTGTTTGTAATAGCGATGAATGTTTCACCATTTAACCATCATCTAGATGAAAAAGATGACACATGTTGACGAAATATTTATCGCTAACTAATGTCTTACCTGCTAGAAACTGATCACACTAATGTATAGTTTTGTTAAGTGGAGGCTATCAGTTGTTTTATCCGGGGGATCTCAGCTTAGATGACCGAATTATTTAAACGAATTAAACCTGACTAACTAGATGATCATAAATATCTTGAGAAAGATTGATTGAGCGAAGAAATGTATATTCTTTTTCAATTAGGTCCTCATCTTGAGCTCTACACTAATATATAGGGGGTTTACAACTTAATCAAATTACCAATCACGTGGTGATGCTTCAGAAATAATTATGTAACTAATCAATAGAGTTACAAAAATTGGGAATATGAATATTGATAGAAAGAAGAAGGGGAAAAGGTGTACAAAGTAAACCTAGAAGTCACATCATGTTGACGGCCATGGTAATGAAAGTGGTCGGACAAACTTCTTTTGGATACAAAGGCTAGGTTTGTGAAGGTGGATTGCAATCGCCTCTGTTATGTGAAGTAACTGAGTGCGTAATCGATGAGGTAAATTAAATGGAATCTAATAGATGATTTTGAAGGCTTTTTCAGTAACCACTTGATGTTCTGTATCAACTAAGTGTGCAAGTATGGAGCTCTTTATAGTTCTAATTTGTCCCTTTTTCAACTATGATGGGTGGTGCTCAGAAATTCGACGATGGAACTGCCTCATTGTACGCTCAATATAACTAGCTCCACAGGAGCAGTTGAATTGATAAATGCACATAGAAGTGGCAGAATCAGGCAGTTTGTCTTTATTTCTTGCACCTAGAATCGGGCTGTTGTACGATTTACAAGTTGATAAACTAATCAACCATGGTCTTTTTTTAAGTGGAAACTACTGAGAACTATTTTTTTTCTCTGGTCTTTCTGCTCCCCTAATTATTTGATAAAACTTTAATGTAATTGCACCTATGTGAAACTCATAAATAAACAGCGAAATCTCGTATAAATCGATGAGTAAAGTCTGGGTGACGCGGGTTCGAATCTCGGGTGGGACATCAGTTCCGTCGAGGTTGCAGATACGCCTTGCTGATGAGTGCCAAAAAAGCACGAAACCTAGGTCCAGGACTTCCTGCCGATTGCCTCCAACCAACTAACAAAGTCTATTTCCCTTTATTTTCTAGTCCTTTGTTGAATTTTTAATATTTTTGTCCAGTAATAAAGTTCATTGATTTGTTTACTTTTTTTCTCCGGTAAAATAACAGAACACAATTTATTTTCAGACAGAAGGAAAACGGTTGAACTAAGAGCACACAGTGAATTATTCGAATGTCTATGAAACGTTATTATAAACAAATGCTTAATTAGTTACAGATAACGTTGAGATTTTACCAGAAATCCATAGAACATGTATCTTAATGTTTATCATCTTCATAGAATAGTCGACACATCTTGATTTGAATTCGGTTGCAAACAGTATTATTATTACTATCATTAAACAATCTCTTTTAATTAATAGCAATGTATTAAAAATTGGTTCGTCTAGCTACGCGTCAGTCATTTTCACAAATACTGCCCTGTACTATTCTTTACCTTTTGCTAAATTTATAATTTTATACTGGGTGATGATTGAAGGTGATGATGTTGATGATTGAGGTCTACACCTCCTCACATGGTTAACAGTCACGGATTTCATGCACTGGTGTCATTCTTTGGTCTGGCCAGTCTGAACCCTCTTTCAAACTAACCCAACTTCCCTTAGTGTATGGTACATCGATGTACGTGGCGGATCGGCATACGCAAGACATGCCTAAGACATCTCATTCAACTAAGGTCCACAACCTCGTCAGTCTACTTGCCTTCCTTGCCTAGTACTCTTCATGTGAATAAATGGTTGAAGTACTTAGACTGTCTTACCGTTCTGTAATAACTAAAAGTGTTAGATTAAACTGGTCGTATTACAGGGAAATACACTTAATTTCAATCAGAAAAACTAAACTTTAACGTACCAACTAAAGATTCTGTATACGAACGAATACAAAAGGCTCGGTTGGCTTTTGCCAACTTACGCCACCTGTGGCGCCGTGGTGTTATCTGATTGTCTATTAAGGATCGTGTGGACTGTGCTGCAGTTCACTTTGTTCTACTGTATGGCTATGAAACATGGCCATCGAAGGTGGAAGACATGAGAAGGCTTCAGGTATTTGACCACCGTTGCCTTCGTAGTATAGGCCGTATTCCACGGTGTCACCACATGAGTAAGGCAGGTCAGGTGTAGAGTTTTAGGGAGAAGAGGTGAATCAGTTGATGTGGTTGTGAACCTCCATCGACTGAGATGGTTGGGATATGTGTTACGTATACCCAGTTGACGTCTGCCTCGTCACACAATGTTGGCCGAAGTAGGTTCAAGCTGGAAAAAGGCTCAAGGCTCTCGATCAGACTAAAATATGGCATCAGTGTATGAGGTTTCTGACTGTTGGTTTGAGCCATGTAGGGCGATGCAGACTAGGTGGTTGGGGTCGGCGGGACAAGAGGAACCAGTGGTTGGAGACTGACTCTAGGTGATATGGCTGAGAACCCATGTCAGTGTCGCAGATGTATACACACATTATCCTCATCTTAACGATGGTATACCGAATCTCACCATTTTGTCATTTTTCCTTCTCTTTTACTATATTCTACTTCCTTTGACTAATTTTTCTTTCCTTCTTCATCTTCCATTTTATTGCCTTGTTACTTGATGTGCTGTTATGAGATATGGCAACTTAGACCGTTACTCAATAATCCCTAGTCCTATGTTATTTTGGATGGATGGATACCAAAGTAGCTAGGCTTAATAGTTTCTAAGCTTGTTTTTTCAAGTCATCGAATTGTTTAAACGAATTTTTTCGCACTTTTTAAAAATGTTCGATCTATTTGATTTAGAAACTGAATACAATAAACATTTTGGGATTCAGGAATACTTGAAAATGTTGCAAACTTCAATCTTTCTTAGAACGATCCTTTAGAGTTTGTGTGCTGTATACTACTTACATGTCGTTTGTTTATTCTTGTGTGTTGGAGTACGCCGATGACATTATCCTGGTAAGTTAAGATGCTGACAAAATGCGCGGTCTTCTGAACGCCTTCACCAGGACTGGTCTACAGCTGCTAGTTTAATGGTAGTGAGTGAAGTGGTAGAATGTGTCTGCTACTTCACTTACTTGACAGAGTCTCAGCTCGTATGCCAAAGGCTCGTCTGGCATTTTCTAACTTGTGTCATCTGTAGTGTCGATCGTTCAAATACTCAGCTACCTATTGAAATTCGAGCATACTGCTCTGCAGTCTATTCTATCCTATTGTAAGGCTGTGAAACATGGTCGTCAGAAATAAACGAAATGAAGGTACTACTAATTTCCGATCACAAGTGTCTTCGTAGCATTGCTCGCGTGTGGCGGAATCACTATGTAAGCAATATTGAGTTCAGGCAGTAGGCAAGGAAAGCAAGTCAGTTGACTAAGTTGTGAACCTTTTCAACGACTGAGGTGGCTTGGACGTGTGGTGAGCCGCCGCATACTTTGACATGCCATACTAGGTCAAGTTGGATTAGATTGGAAGAGAGAGTTCAGGGTGACCAGACCAAAAAGTAGCTCCAGTCAATGAAATCTGGTCTATGTAGATAGGTGTAAAGTACCTGGTTGAGGTCTGATACTATAGGAATCAGTGGTAGAGGATTGATAGGGACATGACTGAGAATCGGTGACGTTGGTGCGGATACTATCACTCTGTGACGTCTTCTAAGGTTTGAATATTTGCACTAACCATTACCTTTAAATTGTTTATTCTGTTATACACTTTCCTCTACTTTGATATCACTCTTATTCTATCCACCTTTTTTATGTTACTGTGAATGGGGTGGGAACTTGAGCCGATCCACTTGTGTGCGAAGTTCTACTTTGATTTTGTTTGTCTGTCTGTCTGTTTCAATCTGTGAAGTCAAATACTTCCTCACATTCTTGTTAAGCATCTATATACGTTTTAATGCTTCTGAAAAACATTTTTGATTGATACTGTCGGTTTTTACTTATGTTTGCACTTAAATCCAAGTATACACAAACTGGAGTAATTTTGCTATTTAGAAAGACTCTAATCTATTATTCTTATATTCTTTGTTCTTTGAACTAGTCTAACAATTTTAACTGATAGTTTTTCAATAGATTTCTTTTTATTTTATAATAATTTCCTGTGTATATTCGTTTCCTTTTGCAGTGTCTACTGAACTGAGATCTTCAATTGATGTTGGACATCTAAAATCGAAAAAGGTTAGTTATTCAAATTCTCTGTAATAGTCATAAGCTTATGCACTAATGTTTATCATTGTAGTATTCATCATGGACTGACATCAGTTGGGGAATCATTGAAAATCTGGGAGCATTGGACATTACTCTATAATGCTCATTAGTGACTTGCTTCCAGATGGATGTTAGGAAGTTCTAATGAGAAGCCGTGACCTGTGGGGTCAACCAGTCGGAAGTGAAGTGGATGCTAACTGAAGACTTTGGGTGACAGTCGCGCTATGTCGTGAATTGACAGAAGTTGGAAATTGTGAACTACTGGAAACCGACCCAGTGGCTGAATGGTGAACGCGTTCGCCGTCAAACCTGAAGGTGCTGAGTCCAACTTCTAGCCGGGTCGTGGGTGCGTACTGCTGAGGCGTCCCATACTAGCTGGACGAAACAGCTGTCCAGTGCTCCCAGATTTTCAATGGTTCCCCAACTGATATCAGTCCATGATGAATGCTACTTCTAAATTAAAAATCTCCATTCATTTCAAAATACGTTTATCATTGTGTTTATTTCAGTTATTGTTAACATTGATATGTGCACTCACTCATATGTTGTAGATCTAAGTTCCTTATTTCGCTTTGTCGTAATATTGTCTATCGTGCTTTCGAAGCCTTACTCATCCACTTCTTATTTTCGACCATTTGTCGATCATCTTTTATTGTTTAGTATAAATAAATTACATGTAATTATTGAATTGTTGGCTCACGTTTTTTTCTTCTTCGCGATTCTCGTGATCACCTTTAAAGTCACAGTCATCTACGTCCCCTTCTGCATGAGCGCACCTACAAGGTTGGATAAAAACCTATCAACATATGGTTGTTATAATAGTCAGCAATACATTTTACTTGTAGCGATCGTTTTTATTTCCTGATGCTTATTTTTCATTATATTGTAAATCTGTATGTATACAACCTCTTTATTCAACTGAAGAATAATAAAGCCAATCAGACAGTTGTTGTTGAACAGGTTTTGATGTTAAGCGGTGAAATCTTCCTCATTTTGTTTGAATAAATTGATTCATATAGGTCATCTACCACTTAGCTTCACCTTCAGAAGGTAGTGATTATCTAATATTCCCCTGGGAATTATCGCTTTATGGTGTATTCACTGTTTGGTGACTTTAAAATATAACTATGATTACGTACTAAATCAGTGTTAGCGGTAACACTTTTCAGGTTTTCTGATGACATTATACTGAAGACTGGTGTTTAAAAATAGTTGACTTTTCGTTATGTTTCTGCGCATACATGATACAGACGTTTAACTAACAGCTAACTCGTACATCAGATACCAATGACTCCATACCCAGGACGAAAGTAAAGAGAAGAAGCATATGACCTTGTGCAGAATTTTAACCAATCAGTGAATTATCTTGAAAATGGGTGGAGGAATGAACTACTGGTAAATTTGGGACCTGCCAGCAGTTTTAGACACGTAAGCATGGAGAAACGTAACACTAATAAAACTTCGTCTACCGTTCGTAACATTGCTTGCGCGTGGAAGGATCGCCGTGTGAAGAATATGGAGGTTGGCGCGTAGTACTAGGTAATGTTTGCAGATGGAGCTGTGAATTTTCATCGACTGGGGTGGTCTAAACTTATGTTGTATGTATGGAGTCACTGCTTACTTCCATGTACGATGTTAGAACAAGTAGGATTCCGCTGGAAGAACGTTAGGTGGCTTCAGACCAAGACGTATGGCACCGGTCAATGAAGTCTCTAAATTTTTATCTGAGCCGCATAAGCTGTCTAACTCGGGTCCCAGAGATGTTAGGAGCCAATCTTTTAAGACTCTTCGTAAGATATAATGTTCTTAGTGGTGTCTGGCTATAAAGTCCAGGACGAGCATCCCATCCTATTTTGGACTTGTCAGTCGGATGTGTTATTATTATTGTCATCACCATGACCATCATTACTATTATTATTACTACTGCCTCCACCACTACTACTTTTATTATTATTGTTACCATTATTGTTATTGTTGTTATTTCTGCCGTTTTGGTCATTATTATTATTATTATTACCATCGCTATTATTATTATTGTCACTACTATTGTTGTTGTTATTATTATTGTCATTATCATCATTACTATTATTTCAAGTTGTTATTCATCGAAGACTGACATCAGTTGGAGGAACAAAGGAAACCTGGGAGCACTGGACAGCTGTTTCGTCCTAGTATGGGACTCCTCAGCAGTGCGCACTGCTGAGGAGTCCCATACTAGGACGAAACAGCTGTCCAGTGCTCCCAGGTTTCCTTTGTTCCTCCAACTGATGTCAGTCTTCGATGAATAACAACTTGAAATATTTCCAAATCTCCACAACCCCCTCAAAATTACTATTATTGTTTGTTTTTTTGTTGGAACACAAACATGGTACGGCAAGAACACCGATAAATGCGCCATACAAAATAATACAATAACAGTGTGAAGACATAAACTAGAGAGAAAAAATAACTTGAATAGCATGATTAGAAGGGCAGTCCAGTAGGCTACATTCAAAACAAGACATTACTTTTCGACGGCAGAAAATAGAAGGAAAGGTCTTGATTCTGTCTCGTATCCGATAACGTCTCAGGCCACTGAGTTGGCAGATCTCTCAGACCCCACACAATGAGTAGTGGTGCACCAACAGATCCTAACCCGATATAACTCCTTCATCCCACGGCGCCACGTCATACACTGACCACCCCTCTTCTTCTTCCATCCAGTCCCAGGGTTAACAAACAATGAATGGTATGGAAGCCGTTGGGACGACATCCATAACACATGTCCAAGTCACGGAAGCCGGTGTTTCAGGCTGACTTCATCTGTTGAATGGCAATCTCCATCATGCCTAAACACACGCTATAGTTCTTCAGAAACACTCACATGGGGTTGCCACCAAATACGAAAAATCCTATAGAGACAACGATGATTGAACACTAAGAGTCGGGACACTTCCTAAGTTCGGAGATCCCAGGTTTCGCTGGTGTAAAGCACAACTACTCGCACCAAAGCGTTGTAAACCAGACGTTTTGCGGTCAGACTAACATCGCTATGGCGCCAAAAGTGGCTCAGATTGGGGTATGTCACGCTGGCATTTATTATGCGGTTAGAAATTTCATCACTTGCACCTCCACCAGTCTTCACACAACTACCCAGACACACGACTACTTCCAAAGGCTCATCACCAAGGGTGAGCGCAGGCACAGGCTCCTGCCAAATCTTGCAAAATTACTTTGCGCTTCGATGGTACAAAGTATAAACCATACTTACGGGCATTAGCTGGATGTACCTGCACCCCAGTGAGTGGTAGTGTTTCCTCGCTTCAAACACTAAAGCACTATCCACTATGACACTTAGACACCAAATCCACCTTGTAAAACGGGTATTCGTTATTACTATTTATTGATACTTGTAATTTCTCGTTAGTATACTGGGTTGAATTGCTTCTTAAGTCTATTTCATTATCTCTTCTTACAGAGAGATGTTCATCGACTCAGTGCAACTATGGCTAGCATATTTCGTACTCCTAGTCGAGATAAGAATTTTACTTCAACCAGCCAATCATCTGTTGACTGTACAACTAATGGGAGTGGTACAACTGTTACAACAGCAGGGTATAAACATATCAAACAACGTCAACCCTTATCTTCTTTATCGTCAACAACACCTGCACGTACACAACAACAGTCACAACCAAATCCACCACTTCCTCCTCGTCCATCATTTGCAGTTTTAAACAATTTACACTTAACTGGAGCCAGCGAACAACTTTCCCCATCTAGTCAGTGTTCTTTCAATGTAGACAGCTTAACAGATGGATCAAACTCATGGATATTAAGTCTGCCGTGTGCTGAAGCTTTGGTTTTACTTGGTGAATTAAATCGAATTAGTGAAGTATTTTTTGTAAGTGTATTTCAAGATAAGTTTCCTTTTCATGATTATCCATTATCCTCAAAAAGGATGCCTAAGTTTATGTAATATTTGAATGTGAAATGCCATAGGCTTATGTATATTCCGATAGATAGTTTTGTTATTTAAAGTGAAAGTGGAGCGCGAATCAAACTCTAGTGGCTACCTAGAGTTTTCCAACAAGTGAATGCAGCCACACTGATTCATTGTACAACATCTAAGGCTTCCTATCGAAAACAAATCACTTTATTTACCTACTAACTTCAAGCAGATAAAACTTATCAGTGTTCTGAACTAAAAGCAAATGCTACTCTACATAGTAAGCGAAGATGTCTTCACGGTACAGAACGTTTTTGTAATAATAATGATAATAATCGCTTTATCTTAAACAATATGTATTACAGTATGGAATTCTCAGCATGTAATTTTTCAATAAACTCACTCCCAGAAAAATACTTCCAGACGAAACGGAGAGATGGAAACAGTTTAACAATGTGCAAGAGTACATGATACGTTCAAAGGACATATTTAAATGATTTAAAAAAACTGAAAGGAAAGAATTTATAATAAGTGTTTAATAAAACTGAACACTATATCTTGGAACAGTTTACCCCTTAAACATAAAGTAGTAGTAGTGTTATTGCTTGTATTACACCGTCATTGATTGGACCAAATTGATCAATCTCTGTTGGCATATGGTCTCCTGTGCGGATGTCTCGATATTGCCTGTGTTCTTAACTATATAGTAATGATGGATAGTGGCTAGCAGTGGAATCAAGAATGCACATTTCGTCCTATTTGGGACACGTCAGCTGGATATACCTGCTTCCCAGTGAGTGATGTTGTCCCCCACTGGGGTGCAATGGATAACGCTCTCATATTTGAAGCGATCGCTCCGGAGTCCGAATCTCGGTGGGAACAGCATCACTCACTGGGAAGCAGGTATATCCAGCTGACGAGTCTCAAATAGGACGAGTTGCGCATCCTGGGTTCCACTGCTAGCCACTATCCATCATTACTATATAGTTAAGAACACAGGCAATATCGAGGCATCCGCACAGATCATATGCCAACAGAGACTGATCAATTCTGTCCAATCAACGACGCTGTAATACAAGCGACTGAGACTAAAAATTCGGACGGTAAACAAAACTGTACTGTTGATAAAAGAAATTAGTTGCACGACGTTTCTCCGATACCGTGTCTCTGCTTATGGTTATTGGTGAACTTTACTATTAGTGCGTTGAAACAAGTAATTTATAGTACTACTGATTGTACCTGTTATTTTAAGTCGCACATCTCAAACAGCATTTATTATGCTTAATTTAAGCTTTTTGATCAAATTGATTTTTTCATGACTGTTAATTGTAAGAATGAGTATCAGTAGTCTATAGTGCAACTTTAGTAAACACAAAAGGTCGTGATAACTGACGTGCTTATCTGAGAGAAAGAAAAGTACAGTGTCCTTTACAAAGTATATAGGGTATGGACACTACACACTCTTTATAATTAGTTGTTCTCTGAGCCAGAATTCTAGTTAGCAAACGTTTCAATGTCATGCCGAACATCTTTATCAGTGCACCAGACCTTTAAGAGAAAGTGAGGTAATTGTTTGTGTATGGATATTTATAACGTGTTACTTTGCCTCAGCGTAATCTCATTGGTCGCTTAGTGAATAAGTGGGTGTATGCTGAACCTGATTGGTTGACTTCCTGTCTCTTGTCTCCTTAGAGGGGTGCGCAGCTACGTGATTGGTTGATTTCGTCTGTTTATTTGCAGTATGTTGAGGTCGCATCGTTGTGATTGGTCCATCCTTTTTTAAGTGAACTGATGAAGGTTGCTTTGTTCTCCTCGATGTCATCAGCTGTGTACCTAGTTGTAGTTTGTCTGAACATCCTTTAGGATCAGAACTACTTCACAAGGCAAATCTTGCTTATTACTGCATATTGGTAACTGTTCAATGTCAAATTAACTGATCTCGATTCGTTATACTTCGGTGTGTGCGTGTGTGTGTACTGTTTTTAAGTCGAACTGTTAACTGCTTTTCGCACCGTATGCTAACTGGAACTTGTGATTTGTGATCCTGCAGTAAGAAGATTTTTTGATTGTGATTATGTATCAATGTGGCATTCACAGTGATTCTAAAGATGGCCACCTTAGGAACTACTCAAATAGTCAATTAGACTTCATGATTTCAGTTGAGATGATAATTTTTTTCCTAAAATGCAGAAAATTAATTGGTTGTTTCAGTAATTGCTAGAGTGGTAATGAAAGTAATTCCGTATCAAAAACTATGATACACGAACGCATTTGCAATACTAAAAATCTTATCATCGTTATATATATAAGCAAGACTGATAAGATTAGGTTGACGCACTCATTAGCCTCATAGATGTGTATATTTGCTCAGAAATAGATCGGTAATTCAATGCATATGTTAAACGTCTATCATAATAATCGCATAGCATACAGACATGACACACAATTCTGCGACAAAAGGTCTTCGAATGATTTAACATTTCTTACTATCTTTTCATAGTGTTTTAAATGGTGTAATGTTACCTTTCATTCTTACCGTTGTTAAGCCCCAGGTACAAGCGTTACGTACTGAAAACGTTGAACTGAGAGCCTCTGTTGCTAAACTCGAAGCAGAACGATCTAATTGGGAACATTTTCGTAGTCGTGATACTCAACTACTCATGCGTACTTCATCTGGTGCTGGTGGTGCATCACATGGAAGTGGAACTCACACAGATGGTAATACTTCAGGTGGAAGTAGCAACACTTACGTAATAGATAACAGTACAGTTAAACAAGAAACAGAGAAATTACGTCAGGATTATGAAAATTTCACAAGAAAATGTCATGACTGGGAGAAAGAATATCAAAAACAACGATCGACTATTGAAAGAGAACATAATAAAATAGCTAAAGAGCGTCAATTATTGGAAAATGAACGCGCTGATCTAGAACGCCGTCAACGTCAATATGAAGAGTTGCGTAGTACACTGCAGACTCAATTAAATATGTACAAAAAATTGGGTTTTAAATTGACACCTATGAATAATCCAGGTATGTTATATAAATGATAAAACTTTTTGAATGTAAGACTACAATTTGGGTATTGTATTAAAGAATTGTTCTTCAGTTGACTTATCTACAGTGTGACATAGTGATATATTATTATTGTTTATTTGATAATCTTTTAGACAATTCGTGTAGTAGGTAGTGACTCATACACCTAGTCTATATGAGGACCAATAATGCTTACTATCTGGCTTCCCAAACCTTGGTAGGTGGAGCGGTGGTTGAACCTATGACCCACTGGTTGAAAACCAGCTGCTTAAATCAATAAGCAACAACTCCACTCTCTTTTATTTAGTATTGATTCATGTATCAATACCTCCTTTCACCTAAATATATTCATGTTTGTAATTCAGTCTTACTGTGCTGTGTGATTGTATGTGTGTTCGAGTTATGATAACTGATTTTTACTCTAAATTATCCTGAGGTGTTACATTGTTTAGTTTTCATGGGATGATAATCAAACTTACGTTGATTAATTGAATTTGGTGATTTGCGGGGACTTAGCGATTTTTCAAGTTACTTATCGCTTTCTCCACTTCTGCAAGTGTTGAGAGTCCTGTCTCAATGTTCCACCATTCACAACCCAACTGGATAGCGGGTGACGCAATAGTAGCGGAAGGCTAGTTGAAGTGTTCCATCCATCGTTCCAGTCGTCTACCGTGCGAGGGAATTGCAGACCCATTCATCTCCGATAAAGTCTCACTAACGATTGACTTTTTCGCTCCAATCTCCTAAATGTCTCAATAACTATCTACTGTTTCCTATCGTCGCCACCTTTTCCATTTCTTTAACCCTCTGTCTACTACCGCTCGCGATCATTTTATAGACTGTATCAATCTGGGTTTGAGTTACATTCGCTCTTTACTGTACTCGCAGCCTGCAGGGATGCGTTCGACTGTATCCATTAATTCAGAAGAAGCTGGTGATATCCATTGACTCTTTTTAACCACTATCTAAGAGTCGGCTACCGCCTTCTGGATAAGTAATATTGTTCTGTAGTGACACTGATAACTGTTGAGCCAGTTTCTCACAGAAACCATTCTTAGTGCCGTTATTGTCGAGCTGCATTCGCATTGGTCTTGTTGTCATAGTTTTTCTATGTGCATTTAGAGGTAAACATACACACTCTCAAACCAACGTCTGTTCACTGTCCAAACACATGCTGCAGAAGGAGCGGCAGTCTTCTACCGACCCTCTCCAACGATAATTGATGTCAATATGATGTATCTGTATCCATCGGTAAGTTGAGATCGGTAGACACCACGTCAAACATTGTCTTCATGTCTGAAGTTCTTGTTGACCAAAAGCAAGTAGTTGTTTGAGCACACTTTAAGCAGGCGATCACCATTATCTGTTCGTTCAGCTGGGATTCCGAAAGTGCCACCTAAATACCTTTCTACTTGAACTGGTACACCCACTTTTGCATTGAAATCACCTTCAACAACTACCATGCCTTAGGACTTGGGTTTCAGTTGGAGGCTACACAGTTTTTAGTAAAACTTATGTTTCACTTCCGGACTTCAGTTATTGGGTGCGTAAGCAGAGATTACAAAAAAATAACGTTAAGTTTCCCCGGATGGAATCATATTTATTTCTCACACGCTAGCTAACATCCTAGTTAGCTTGTTCAATAATCCTAGACCACCATCTTTAAATACCTGTGATACTAGTCCATTTGGTCTTATTACCCTTCATCATTTCAGATTGTTTGGAGCTTTCTTAGTTCCGGTGGGTATCGGAGGTTTTCCTTCAGTTGTTCCATTGGTCTCCTTTCACTCCTCAGTGTGCAAGGAGCACACAGGTATGCGTTCATTTGCTTCCACTAGTTCAGAAGAAGCTTCTGAACTCCGGTCGATTCATTTAAAGTTTTCCTGAAGGTTGCTTACGGTCTTTAAGAATGTTTTTGAAGTCTGTTGAAGGTGACATCAGGTTTTTCCTGGCTGAGTGATGTCACGTCTAACCAGATCCTCTTTGTAAGTAGCCTTAACATCCTTTTCGTTAATCTAAACTCATAACGGTCTTTCTATTGCAGTGTTTTTGAAATCGCTTAGATACAGAGATACGCGTGCTCTAGAGGAAACAGCAATATTTAGTAGACCCTCTCTAACAGTAACTATGATATGGCCCATTTGCGCTAACCGTTGAGTTTGTCATTGAATCTCATGTCAGACAATCTCTATCTTTTTGTATGAAATTCATGGTGGCTAGAATTAGGTGGTTGTGTGAGCATGGTTGTACCAGATGACCACCATTATCAGTTGGTTTGGCTTTGATTCCGAATGCACCACTCACTTTTGGCATCCACGTGAGCAGTGGGTTTTGTGCTTTATGGTTCAGTGCTATACCTACACCTGAGGAACCGCAAAAACTAGCCGAAGAATCCTTAGAAACTTTAGGTGTCTATGGTCTGAGATGTCAGACTTTTGTCGAGAAAAGCTTGTCTCATCCGATGAAGCGTGCGAAAATTGAAAGCTCAAATACATAATTTGAAGTGCGTTTTCAAGAGACAATGGGTGCTATACCATGACACCTAATCTTCAGAGCTGGAATAAGTTTAAGAAAAATTAGAAGACAACGATGTCCAAGGTTGGTAATGATCAGAAGGAACTTTAGTACCATTAAAGGTATGAGGATGGTCGACGTTTTCAGACTTTACGCTCGGTGAAAAGTTACTTCATAAGGTGCCTAGAAAATAAAGTGGATTAGTAATGATTGTCTTGTCGGTTCGCTTGCATGACCACGAAATTGAAGAAGCATGTGCTTGATACCGGTCATACAGTCTTCTGGGTACTTTTTAGTTGGATATTGATTGCACTCTATCCCGTTTAGAATACTTATACCTCTAGCACGTAAAGACCTTATGGTGAGAAGGCGATTACAATTTTTAGGACCGACTTTATCTAAGCCTTCCCTATAACCGAAGGCATCATCAACCCGGTATGCTGGTCATCTATAGGAAACACATTTAGGTACGAAGACGATACGTTTGTCATCATCAAACGAAACAGTCTGGATGAACTCTTCTATCATATGAATAATGTGTGCGGAAGTATTACTTTTACTCAGGAAGTTGAATTCAGTTTGTCGAAATTAAACTTTATGGACTGTATAGTGGAAAGACAGGATTACAACAAACTAAAGATTAAGATTTTCAGAAAAGCAACACATTCCAACAGATATCTCGCTTATCAGTCTGCATATTCTGTGACTACTAAAGTAACTGTCACACGGAATCTAATCAGCAGGGCTAACCGTCTTGTTACAATGACGGAGGATAAAGAAGAAGAGTTAAAGTTAGTTTGCCGCACACTGGAAGTAAATAATTATCCCAAAGGTTTCTTTAAACGTATTTTAAGAAAAATGAAACTAAGGATGTGCCAAAACTCCCTTCAAGGAATTGGACAAGCATGGTCATAATCCTATACCACAAGGAGACTTCAGAAGAAATAAGAAGCATTCTCAACACACATAATATAAGAAGTTTACTTTCGTGCAATAAATATCCTATGTTCTAACTTAATGAAAGTTAAAAATGGAGTACCTAAAGAAAATCAACAGAACTGTGTTTATGAAATCAAATGCGAAGATTGTACTACAGTATATGTAGGGGAAACAGCTAGGCAAGTAAATGTAAGAGTCAATGAGCATAAACTATACTTGTGACAGATACAAAACAACCTTAGCAGACGTTAAGACAATGATTATACGAAGAGGATTGGATAAAGAGATTAAATACACATTTTTAGATTCATTTATATGTATTCTTGATATTTTAATTTTAATTATTTCCCTGAAATAGCTTGAACCAGACTTACGTACAAAACAACGTTGGAATTATCTGACTTATACAATTATAATCTATATTCTATTGTCAACGTTTTACTCAACACCGAATATTTACCATATTTATACAATTAAATCTTGATCATATAGTGTATATATAAAGAAATGACATTACTATCTTAATCTTAATTTATATATTTTATTCTCTGTACAGAACTTGAGGCTTTGGTTAATTTAGATTCAGATAAGACCAGTGGTAATATCAATGGTTCTCAGTTGAATCTAAGCAATTCCTCTGTAGTAGCCAATTCTTTTGATGACTATTTAAATGAATTATCTGGTAATAATGCTTACAATTCAAATGAACATGGAATTGTAGTAGGTAATGATGTTGAAAAACCAATGCACTTTTATTCGAATAGTGATGATATAACAGTATCTAGACGAGATTCAACTAATTTCTATTATACTAATCAAAAACAAGACCATTGTTCATATTCATCGGATGTTGATATTACACCAAAGTCATCTCTTGTACCATCTGTTTCAACACGAAGTGATCATGTACCTGAACATCTACGTGGAAGTTTAGTAAATCAGGTAGGCTTTTTGTTTCTATTAAATTTTGGTTTACAATGTGTGTGTATGTGTGTGTTTTCTCCTAAAATAAAGAATCTCTTCGACTATACGTCTATGGATATGTTATACAATCAGTTAACGGTCTTATTGAATGAAAAAAAATTTTAACAGTGGAACAATATTTACTTTTTAAACACACCAATATGGATAGATGGAAAGAAACATTAGTCAATCAATCATTAATCAACATAAGACCAGGCATTACTGCGTAACGGTCCGAGTTGCCGCAGCTCATATCACTACATCAAGTAGAAAGGTAGTGAGGTGAAGGATGAAGATAAGAGAATGCAGTCAAAAGAAATGTAAAGTACTAGAAGAAAGAAAGGAGGAATGACAAAATGGTGAGATTCAGTATAGCGTTGTTAAGATGAGGATAATGTGTGTATACATTTGCGCCACTGACATCGGTTCCCAGCCATATCCCCTAGAGTCTCCAACCACTAGTTCTTCTTGTCCCGCCGACCCCAACCACCCAGTCTACATCTCCCCAAAGAGAGAGAAACATCAGTAGATCTAATTTAATGTGTTTATGTAAAGTGATCGACTATAGTCGGTGGACTTGAAGTCATTTGAATACACTAACATAGTATAAAAAGTGTTCTATAAGAAGTTACTTATATTGTATTGGGCGTTGCTGAAAAGAATGGATATAAGTAGTATATGTTGAGGGGGTGACAGAAATCACATTATATCATTCAAAACGTTTTCTTTTTCGCCTCTCCAGATAGTTTCTTCGCCAGTGTCTCAGTTTTCCGCATGCAAAGCATTTTCTCTGTCTGTTGATATTCATTTGAAGTGCAGCCACCTCCTCTCGAAGGTTATCGACACCTTTTCCCCAGCTATTTACCTGTGGTGACTCTACCGCAGCTACTGCTGTTGCCCATTAGTTATGTGGTGACGTTGCCCATCTCACTAATATCCACGGGGTGGGCTGCATTCACTAGTAGTCGTTCTGTTAACTTCGCAGCCAATACCAGCGGATCGTCGTCTATTCTAACTTTCGTGCTCCAGAACTGCTGCATCGCCAGCTTCCTGTCCGTTGGGCTGTCAAACTCCGTCTCCAGGCGTTCAATCATTCTCTTCCAAGTCTCCTTCTCAACCACATGTTGCACGTCGCCATATGCCGCTTCCACTCGACCCCTCAGCAATGTGCCAAGCACCACGACCTTCACTCCTGGATCCCGGACACCCACCAGCTCCGCGACTGACTCGAAGTCCCAGGGAAGATATTGATGTCCCCGCCCTCGAACACTGCAGGCTACGGAATCTTCATCACGTCCAAAAGCAGCGACACCAAATGAAGGAAATGAGAAGACGGAGACAAAGAAAGGAATGCTGATTATTGATATGTGCAGCAGTCATCAAATATTGTACACCTAACGCTAAGACAGTCATTTGCGTGATGTGCTTCATTTCCTCTTCTGCTTCTATCTTGATTTGGTGTTAATGTGCCCGCATTGTCTCTTGCATTCCTCTTGACAGAATCCTTACCCATTGCTGGTGATTGCCTATGATTTCTTTCTCTGTCTCAGCATATACTACTTATATTCATTCCTATCAGCAACACCCACTAAACTACCACTTCTCTTGTTATTATTACCACTACTAATAACAATAATTAACTTTTATGACTCGGCCAATAGACGATTGGAAATAATCTTCCAGTAGATGAAAATCGGCGCGTTCCCAACTTTTTCTCTTTGTTTTTTTAGTAGATAAGACTAAAGTGTTTCATTCCATTTTGGGGGTTTGTGGAGACTTGTTGATTTCAAGTTGGTATTCTGACTCAGTGGCTTAGTGGTAACGTGCTGTCCGCGGAGCCTGAAAATCCTGGGTTCGGTCGATCTCTGATGGGGTCATGGATGCGCACTAGGACGAGACGGCTGTCCAGTGCCCTCAGGTTTTCAATATTTCTTCAATTTAGATCAGTTATTGATGAATACTACCTTCGGAGTAAAATTCCCATAAATCTCAAACTACATTACTCTACAGTGCTCATTACTGACAGGCTTCGAGGTGAATACCCTGAAATCCTAATGAGAAGCTATGATATTTGGGGTCAACTAGTCGGAAGTGAAGTGGATGCCAACTGAAGACCTTGGATAGTAGTTGCACTGTATAGTAATACTTTAAAATAAGTCCTAGGTAAATAAATATCTTTTGCAACCAATAAAATGATCCGATGAGCCTTTCTTGTCTGAAATACATATTCTGCTTACTTTTTCGGTTGGCGTAAAAAAATTCAACTTTTGTGCTATATGTAGTTAAATAAATCATATACAGTTTGGAAAAACTTAAGTTATTTGTTGCTGACAATTCAAGTAAACACATCACTCTGTTGAAGGCTATTTACCATAACACACATGTGCGTGTTACAGACTATGTTGAGTTGTCTGGTGAGTTGTGTTCTTCGAATAGTGTCCGTCAAGGATGCTCACTGTCACCATTCCTATTTAATTTTATTGTAGATGTTCTTACGGAGGGTCTTCCTTTCGTCCTCTGACTTTATAGGGATTGATTTGATCATAGGAGACCTCTTGGTAAATGTAGAATGCCCAGGTGACTTGGTTCTGTTAGGTGAAGATGCTGACAAGACTCAGTCTTCTGGACACCTTGAAATTCGAAATGCGAATTGTTAGCCTAGGACTTGTCTTCGACAGAGCCGCGTCTAATAATAGGGAGTGAAGTGGTTCGGTTTGTAGATCACTTCACTTACCTGTAAAGTCGGATAAAGCGTGATGGGTTAGTGGTTGACGAAATCGCTGTAGGGATACAATTTACGCCATCTGCAGCATCATCGTGTTGGCTGATTGTCTATGGACAGTCAAGTGGACTGCACTGCAGTTTGCTCTGATTGACTGTATGACTGTGAAACATGGCCATTAAAGGAAAAGGATATGAGAAGGCTTCAGGTATCTGACGACTGTTACCTTCATTCCATACGCTGTTTGTCGTTGTGTCACCATATGTAGAAGAAGTCAGTTGTAGAGTTGTAGGGAAAAGAGAGAATTCATTTGATGCGACTGTAAACCTTCATCAACTGAGTCGACTGGGACGTGTATTATGCTTGCCTTGTCTCTGTTTGACTCGTTGCGCAATGTTAGCCGAAGTAGGCTTGGGCTCGAAAAAGGTTAGTGACATCAATGCATGAAGTCTTTGGTTATTGGTTTGAGCCGTGTAGGGGGATGTTAACTTTGCGGTTGGGGATCGATGTAACAACAGGAACTAGTCGCTGCAGACTTTAGGCGACATGGCTGAGAATCGATATCAGTGGCGTCAATGTATGCGCACCTTATCTACATCTTAACCGCTATTCTGAATTCAGTATTTCCTCACTCCTCCTTTCTCTTCTTAAGTGCTTTTGACCGATTCTTCTCCATTTTTTCATCTTTCATCCTGCTACTTTTTTGTTTGATGTGGTGATATGTGTGGCAACTTGAACCATTGTGAAGTAATAACTGGTCGTATGTTGATATTGTTGATGATGACGATGATAATGATAACAGTTCAGAAACGACAGATATCTTTTCAATACAATGTGGGGGGTTATAGGGATTTATCGGTTCCAGGTTGGTATTCATCATGGACTGACATCAATTGAAAAAACATTGAGAACCTAGAAGCACTGGACAGTTATTTTGCCCTAGCATGAGACTCCTCAGGAGTGCGCACCCGTGACCCCCACTAGGGATCGAGTTTTGGGCCTTCAGGTTCATTCTTGAATTCATATTTAATTCGCTGGAACACTTAAAGATGTATAGACTAAACGTTCTTAAGCTTAAATAACCACTACGCATGATTTATACGTCTGTAATTATCCGTATCATTCATTCATCAGCAAAATGACTGATACAATAGAGTGGAACAGAGCGATAGTATTGAAAAGGCAGAAAGAGGCAGTTCAGTGAGTAAAATTCTTGTTCCCGATAAATCACTTTCAGAAACTGTACATTCGTATTCATTGTTAAAACAATCAATAGTTAATGGGCCAATACAAGGACAATAAAGTCATAAGGTGATTATAACCAGTAGGTCAACATAAGGTTAACAAAAATTATTTATAAGATTATAAGGTATTGGCTGGATGATCAATACAAGGTAATCACATGGCGATTACATAATCACCTATAGAGTAACAGGACAAGTAAGAAAAGTGAGATAGTCACATTGAAAGTAACAACTGCAGAGTAAGGAAAGAGTATGATAATGATAATGTTAGTAAATTCAATCAATAAAATGTCTTTGGGAGATTATGACCAAGATAGAATTAATGATTGATTGGATGTACTTCTTTTGAACACAGAGATCACATTTAAACTGATGAATTTTAAAGGCTTCTGTACATGAAGTAGAAGAATTTCTACAGATGGTACAGCAAATGAGAAGCTGAAAGTACTTCAGAAAGTGTTCATCGAAAATGGTTATCCTTTAAGATTTATTGAGATGAACGTGACACCTAAACATTACTAAGAAGGATCTACTCCTAAAGAAGACACAACTTATAAATAAAACCTTTTCTGCCCAACTTTGGATTGTTTTCTCCAGTCAACAACTGATTCAAGCGTGTATAAACGATAAACTATCAATTTGGGTTAACCTCCGTGCGTGCTTACGGATTCACCTACTCTCATGGAGCTGGTCACATACGATGCACAAAGTGTGTTCTATCTAAATAAATCTGCGAACATTATCGTGCTTGGCTATCTTAAGGAGAGTGTAACGTGATTAACAACTCGATTCTTGACCAACTGGTCAACTCTATTCGATCTACTCCTGTAGATTCTCCTTTCAAAGTTCAATATGAAGTCAAAGCAAACTTTTTTGAAAGGAGTTCAGATTTACCACCTGAAGACAACAGAAGCTTTTACAATTCATCAGTTTAAATGTGATCTCTGTGTTCAAAAGAAGTACATCCAATCAATCATTAATTCTATCTTGGTCATAATCTCCCAAAGACATTTTATTGATTGAATTTACTAACATTATCATTATCATACTCTTTCCTTACTCTGCAGTTGTTACTTTCAATGTGACTATCTCACTTTTCTTACTTGTCCTGTTACTCTATAGGTGATTATGTAATCGCCATGTGATTACCTTGTATTGATCATCCAGCCAATACCTTATAATCTTATAAATAATTTTTGTTAACCTTATGTTGACCTACTGGTTATAATCACCTTATGACTTTATTGTCCTTGTATTGGCCCATTAACTATTGATTGTTTTAACAATGAATACGAATGTACAGTTTCTGAAAGTGATTTATCGGGAACAAGAATTTTACTCACTGAACTACCTTTTATAGGAAACATCGAAAATATGAATGTAATGAAGCAATCTATGATTTCATATAACTTACTAATATTTTGTATGTTGAAACACTTGACTCCGTACCCTGAAAATCCGTGAAATGGAAAATACTCACAGTATAGACAAATATAAACGTGAACTTCATGTTCAGAACTTTAATACTAAGAAATAACCTAATGGGGTGGAGGGAGAAATTAATAACCGAATCTTTGTTTATCCAAGCAACACCAAATATACGCAATACGAATCAATGACAGAGCACCTGTCCCAGATATATGCGGGAAGCCCTATTACCCTAACCACATAGAAGGCAGAGAGAAATAGAACTATATAAATCTTTTACTTAAAAACTTTCTCCTAATCATATCATTGTAATTACACTCCTTTCGATATCTGATTTTTATAGTCCCGTCACCCGCTTCATAATAAAGTTTTCCACATCTCTGATATAGGCGTTTTGTTCTTCTTACTACATGTATTAGCTGGGTGTTGATTCGATGGAGAAAGATTCAGTAATCGATCTCTCCTTCTCTCCACCTGATTATATTGGACTTAAGTACTGTGGTTTTTATCCTACCCAGCCTATTGTGTAGTTGTATGTTAATACATACAGTGCAATAGACGAGTTGTTTTCTAGATTATTGATCTTATTCGGGTCTGTTATTCTGTGTTTAGCTAAATCCCTATGTTGGGCTAATCTAACTGACCCCGATCGGCTATTTTCACGTATGTACTTGACCCCACTCACAGACTTTAGATGAAATTTAATAGATTAGATTATTTTGCTTAATTGGTTCTATCGGATCCTTAAACAAGGCGACAAATTTTATCTCTGAATAAGTTTATAGGTTTAAATGCCATCCTAAATCCAGCTTTGTTGAGGATCCTATGTAAAGTTTCTGACGTTAGCTGTCAGCCGAAGTAAGTTCAGGCCGGAAAAAGGTTGTAGGGGTTAAACTGAAACATGGAATCTTCGACTGCTTGTCTAAGCAGTATTTTGAAGTGTAGATTTTATGGTTGCAGTCTGAATCGTAACAAAGATGGATGACTTGAGACTGAAGGTGATATGGCTGAGAATTGATTTCAGTGGTACAGATGTATCCACACATTATCCTCATCCTAATCGTCATACTGAATTTCAGCATTCTTTCATTCTTCCTTTTTTTAATGACTTTCTACCACTTTTGTCGGCTTTCATCTTTGTGTTATTCCTCCTGGATGTGATAATAATGAAAATGTAGCAACTTGGACCATTACATAATAATACCAAGCGGAATATTGATCTTATCTGTCTATCTGTTGCTGCTTTGATGCATCAAACTTGGTATATGGAGCTGTTTTGCAAACTTGTAATCATTCTGTTGGAAATTAAGTATCTAAAATCAATAAGTCACAAGTTCATAGCCTAGTATGTAAACACATTTCTGCGTTTCATTGCATTAAATAGATTTTCATTATTATCTCTTCAATTTCATATTTTCAGAGTATACATACATATTAGTGATTACTTATCTCTATAATTAACCTGTTTTATACCGTTTAAACAGTTTGAAGAACACAGTTTTGACATTACCATATCCTCTTTAAACATGTTATTGTTCTCAACTATTTTATTTTGATTTTTTTTATCTACTCTTTCATTCCTAGAGTAATATACGTGAACAGGTTTGTTGTTGCATTGTGTGGTATCATTTCTACAGATATTTTCTAACAACCTTTGGTTTGCGGTGTATTCCTAACCTTTATTACATGGTGGCGCCATCCATGGTGTCAAATTACGCAAATATTTGATGATATTTGTATGTTCTCTTCCCTTTGACTATTCACCTTCTGCATGTCGTGTGTGTGTGTGTGTGTGTGTGTGTGTGTGTGTGTGTGTGTGTGTGTGTGTGTGTGTGTAAAACGCTTCCCCACTTTCAAGCTAACTTGGTCTGTAATATGATCGTTTAACAATACGCCCCCCCACACACACCTAAACCCCGTTTTCATCCTTATTAACATTTATCGAGACATTTCTGAAGAATTTGTAGAAATTACACTTCGTAACTCAGGTTAGTCAGTGTCTTACTCGAGAATATTTGTGCTGTAATACTCGGTTAGTTAGCGAGTACCACCATCTTGTGCACCAAAAACTGGTTAGATAGCAACCAAATCCTAAACTTAAGCCCTCACAGCTGGTCCAAACTCTTCGATCAATTAACGAGGAAAGCTGAATTGGATTAGTCTATGTTGGTATATAGGCTTCTACATTGATGCCTCACCATTGCCTATACTTTCAGTTTTGATAGTAATGAGGAATAGTTGCTATCGGTGGAATCCAGGATTTCATCACCAAGATCAACATAGGACCAGATATTACTGCGTAGCGGTCCAAGTTGCCTCACGTCATATCAACACACCAAGTAACAAGGCAATAAATGGAAGATGAAGAAAGAAAGAAAAAACGATCAAAGGAAGTAGAAATAGAAAGTAGTAAAAGAGAAGAAGAAAGAATGAGAAGATAATAAGGTTAAGCATAGCGGTTAATGTGTGTATTCATCTGCACCATTGTGACATCGATTTTGATCCATATCATCTAGAGTTTCCAACCATTGGTTTCTCCTGTCACGTGGACCCCAACCGGCCGTTCTATCTCTTTCTATATAGGTCAAATCAACAGTCAAGGACTTCATACATTAGTCTGGCTGCTCCCAGGATTTTTCTAGCCTGAACCTACTTCAGTTAACATTGTATGACGAGGCAGACAGTGAACAGGCATACGTAACACATATCCTAGCCATCTCAGTCGATGAAGGTTCGCAGTAGCACCAGCTATCTTACCTCTCCTTCCTAAAACTCTACAATTGACTTGTGTAATAGTGGACAATATTTGTAGCTCAGGTGGATGGTATTGTTTGTATTGTGTTCTCTGAGCTGGATTGTTTAATTGTATCACAGAACCGAAGAAGGACAGGTCCATTCGATTTCATTCTCCATTTGTCTTGCTTTGTTATCTCTTCTGCTTTGAAGAGTTTGTTCAAGGTTTTATTGATCTGATTGTTGAACTTCTGGATAGGGCTCGTTTCAAGTAGTTGATGTACATTTTCGCTTTTGAGTAATTCCTCTGCTTTTCTAATGTAGTTTTCTTTGTCCATGACTACTGTAGTCGTCCTTTGTCTGCTGGAAGTATGATGATGCCTTCCCAGTTTTTCAGCCTTTTTAATATTTTTCTGTTCTTGAGTGTTCATTTGAGTGAGATGTTTTATCTGCCTGGTCAGTGGTACGATTGTTTGCCGTATTTCTTGTTGAGTGACCTCATTTAATCGTGATGTTTCTAATGTCGCAAAGAATTTTGGTTGTGAGGCATCTCTTGTGTTGTAATTCAATCCTTTTTGAAAAAGAAATCGTGCCATTTTTGTAAGTGGTTTCTTTGATAAGTTGGCAACGCAGTCATTTGTTTCATCGGTACTTCTGAGATTTTGAGCAGCTTTTTCCTGAGGACGTTTCTTCGTTGTTGTCTGTTATCGTCTGCTTGATTTTTCAATTACAGTTGTTGGCGTTGTCATGTATTGTGTCGTCAGTATGCTTTCTAGTTTTGCCTCTTGATTGTTAATCACTGATTGGTATTTCCAAATCCGGTGGTGTGCATCTGTGATCATCAATTGTACCATTTGTCTTCCGCTTTGCTCAGCTATTTTCCATCCCATTGGATTGTTAATCGGCGGTCTATATCTGACACTCTTCGGTAGAACATGCTGACGCAAGCACTCATGGAGAAAGGATAGTTGTTCCCTTGTGGAAGCTTGCCTTTTAGAGAAGTCTTCCCATCTTCGAACAACATGAAGCGTGTTACGCTCGTATAATTTTGAAATAGTGGAGAATATTTGTAGCTCAGGTGGATGGTCTTGGTTGTATTGTGTTCTCTGGGCTCAGAGGACAGATATCAGTTGGGGAAACATTGGAAACCCGGGAGCACTGGGCAGCTGTTTCGTCCTGGTATGCACCCATGAGCTGGCTGGGAATCGAACTCAGGACCTTCAGGTCTCAGGGCGAACGTGTTAACCTCAGAATACATTACTGTATAGTGCTCGTTACTGACATGCATTCAGATGGATATCCCGACGTTCTAATGAGAAGCCGTGACCTGTGTGGTCAACCAGTCGGAAGGGAAGCTGATGCCATTTGAAGACCTTGGGTGATAATCGCGCTATATCTCGAATTGACAGAAGTTGAAAACTGTGAAGCGTTGAACTCCGACCAGTTCCTGAATGGTTAACGCGTTCACCGTGAAACCTGGACGTCTTGAGTTCGATCGCTAGCCGGGTCATGGTGAGGACTCCTATACTAGGACGAAACAGCGGTCCAGTGCTTCCAGGTTTTCAATGTTTCCCCCGAATGATGTTATTTCATGTTGAGTACTACCTCTAGATTGTTAGTTATTGTGTAATTCTGTTTATTCTTCTGATATAATCCTCGACTTTGAAAAGGCCTTCGACAGCATCGACCGAGAAGTAATTTGACAACTGCTTCAGCAATACGAAGTGCCACAAACCTTTATCAACTTCATTCAACTGCTATATGACGCTACATGCCAAGTGATTCACAATGGAAAGCTCAGTGTTGCCTTTAAAGGGAAGACAGGAGTAAGACAAGGTTAGCCATGATCTTCCTGATTGTGATGGACTGGACTGGATCATGTAAAAAACTGTGACGAGCTGTGGGAAGATGGGCCTACTCTGTTTGACTGATGAAAAAAGACCCTAGAAGATTTGGATTTCACCGATGATGAGTTATGTCTAATGTCTAGTCGCACAAATCCGAAGATGTGCAGGCGAAAACCAACAAATTGACAGAAGAGATAGGGCAGCTAAGACCGGACTTCAAGTGAATGCAGAGAACACAAAGTTGATGAAGATACAAACCAACAACGGCATCAAAAACAAGCAGTAATCACCATCAACGGGAGAAACCTAAGAGGAGTAGTCTCTTTCATCGACACAACCACGCAGCATCGTTTCAACTACAGGCGGAATAGGCACGGATAAGGATGTTAAAGCCAGGATCGGGAAGACAGCAACACAGGTCTTCCTTCATTAATCTGTGGAGATCTACTGCACTTACCATAAAGCGTGAATAATATCCAGATTTTCAACACTAATTCAGTCAAGTCAGTCAGTGCCTCCATGTGATGGTTCGATTTCACAACTTACATACATTGTCGATTTCACTGGGAAATCTATTTTAAGGTCATTGGAAGACTTCAAGAGCGAAATCGAAACACATTTTAACAACAGGCGAAAACTAACAAGTTGTCATATGAGGCAGGGCAGCGAAGACAGGACTTCATTCAGGTGAACGTAGAGAAGACAGGTGGAGGTGATGAAGATACCACACCAACAACTTCAACAAACTCCAATCAGGATGAACGGGAGAAACTTAAAGTAAGTAACCTCCTTCACCTATCCAGGCAGCACTGTCTCAACTACAGGTGGCTGTGGCACAGACGAGGATGTCAAAGTCAGAATCGGAAGAAAGCAAGACAGGCGTTCATTAGCCTGAAACCAGTGTGGAGATCTTCTGCACTCCTCTCAGCATGTGGAACAAGATCTGGATTTTCAACACCAACGTCAAGTCAGTGCTTCTGTATGGTTCAGAGACTTGGCAAGTTACGAAAGGGATTTTAACAAACTACAGACATTCATCAACAACTGCTTACGCTGGCTCGCTGTTGAAAATCAGATGGCCAGAAGGAATAAGCAACAAAGAACTCTGGGAACGAACCAACGAAGCAAGAACCTATCGCTGAACAAATATGCACTGGAAGGAAGTGGAGATGGATTGGATTGGGCATGCACTGAGAAAGTCGACAGGGGACATCACGCATCAGGCCAGTTGCTCGAGTTGAACCCCCATGGAAGCGAGGGTTGGGCGTCCGTGGTGGGGGTGACATGGAGGAGACCATGTGAGGAAGAAATGAAAAGTTGTGAACAGTAGTGTGGCCAGGTTGAAAAGACTGGAGAGAAGAGAGTGAAATGGAGGTGTGGTACTGAAGCCCTATGTTCCACTAGGAACCCAAGCGAAGAATAAATAATAGTAATAATGTGCACCGCAATGCTAAGCCTCCTAGCTTGGTTATCGCTTTGCAGATATTATTTGTAGTATTCGATCTGCGTTCAGGACTGGACAACAGGAAATTGGTTGCTCTCCCGTGACCAATCAATAAAGTTTATAAGTATCCTCAATATTGGAGATATACCAGCCTAACCCTAAACCTGTGGTGCTTTATCGATTCTTCCCGTACTTATTTCACTGATATATGAATTATAACAATGCCATCTTAGTAATGGGTTTTGTTTATCACATTCCATGGCAGTAATTGTAATTTGCTTGTAGCTGGCTAGTAGTAGAATCTAGGACTCACGTTTCATCCTATTTGAGACTGGTCAGTTGAGTTTACTTGAACCCTAGTTAGTGATGTTGTTCTCACTGACACTCGAAACCAGTACCTATGATTTCAAACATTAAAGCAAATTTACAACATGATGAATAATCAGGCAATATTAGGACATTGTCATAGAAGCCCATTTTGTCAACAAAGGTCGATCAATTCGATCCAGTATAACACGGAGGAAATTCCAAGTATACATGAATAATTCGGTAGTAATTACTTACATTTTATTTTTTTAAACGGGGTAAATGATGTGAAACTATGACAAAATGAACATTCTATCTAGATTTTAAAATGAATTTGTTTGTAGTTTTCACAAATGAGGATGTTCATCAAATGTATCATAGACTCCTTGTAGTTTGTTTTTAATGTAAGATTGTTGTGACACTGTTATATTGAAGGAAACGGAAAGACAGAGACGTGTGGTATAGTAATCGTTAAATATGCTACACCTTCCACTAAGACAGTTATTTGCATAATGTGCTACATTTCCTGTTCTGCTTCTACCTTGATTTACTCTTGATACACCCACGTTGTCTCTCGTGTTTCCCATTGCTGGTAATCACCTATGATTTCTTCCGCTGTCTCGACATATACTACTTATATCCATTGTGATCAACAACGCCCAGTACACTACTACCAGTGGTTTGACTAATGTATTAAGATGCTAAATTATTTTTTGGCTTTTGTTTTGGTTAATAATAAGAAACAGTGTGAAGTGTTCTTGAACTAAAGAGCAGCTTCTTTTTTGTAGGTGGTATATATCTTATCGGTATTGAACTGTTTTATGCTAGACAATAGTTATATACAAATGAGATATGTAACCCGACAAGGATATCCGTTACGACCAGTGGGATTTTAATACTGATGTCTGTTTTTCCACCGTTTTATCTAAACTAAAGGAATAAAGTCCCGTCAAATATAATTTGTATGTTTTTACGTTTTGGATATGTGGGGCTTTAAAGATATTTTAGGTTGGTTTTCATCACTTACTGACACCAGATGGAAGAACATTAAAACCTGGTAGCACTGGACAGCTGTTTCGTCCTGGTATGGTGGACTCTTCAGTAGTGTGCATCCACGATCCCGCCAGGGACCGAACCCGCGACCTTCGGGTTCTGTGACCAGCACGTTACCATTGAGCCACTGGGTCACCCGAACTTAATAGTCTATATTTCTAACTTCTGTCAGTTCATGACCATTGGATTCCAAGCCAGTAGCTCCATGGAAACATGCTGGCCATAGAACCTGAAGGTCCTAGGTTCGATCTCTAACGAGGTTATGGATCCGCGCTACTGAAGAATCGACCATACTAGGACGAAACAGCTGTTCAATGCTTCTAGGTTTCCAATGTTCCTCCAACTGATATCAGTCTATGATGAAAACTAACTTTATTTTTAAAGAATTTAACATTTTGTTTGAATTACTTAACAAATTCCTTTTTCTTGTACATTTTTTCTATAGCCGAGTAATTCACGTTCATCAGATTATCATCGTTCAGAGTACAATCCAACCAATTTAAATGATCGTATTATTAGCTCTGGTGCCAATAGTAATAATTCAACTACTGATGGCAATAATAGTAGTAGTATAAATAGTGGAAAATCTTTTTCCGGTTCTTCATTATTCTCTGAATCAAATCCTCTTATGAAATTAGTTGATCATACAAAAGTGAAATCATCTAATTCTCTTAGTAAACCAAAAAAATCATATCGTTCTAGATCACGTCAAAAAGATTCATAATTTCATTATATTATGGTGTCAATTGATTTCAACATCTGCTCCCTCTGTACCTCTTCATTTAAAGTGTATTTTATCTAACATTTCTGATCTTGACTCTATTTTTTTCTTCAAACTTTTGGCTTGATGATCCTCTTCTCCTTTCACAGTATGTTTAAAACATACACGGAAATCTAACAATGAGAATGATCCTACTTTTTCATATGGTATTATGCAAGATTTCCTCTCCTTTTTTTTTCCTTTGTTCTGTATAAACATTGAAGAAGTTTGATCCATTTTTAACTGACATGCTTATTTATTTACTCATCAGATTTATTAATTTCTTTTTGTTGTTCACCTTTTTTTTTTAATAAAACGGTATGTGTATGTGTCTGGTTCTCTATTCCTTTCTAATTCATGTTGATTCTGATTGATAATGTGCCTTTGGTCATATGTTGAGCAGTATATATACACGTACTTCAGACCGGGATACGTCTACGTTAAAGTGTATTTGTGTGTGTATTTGCTGTCCTCCCCCCCCCCCTCCAACACACATACACACACACGAAAGATCCTTATTGATTCCGCGTCTATGCAGAGATATTCAACAGAATAGCAACATGCAGCAGCGGTGTAATGTGTTAAACACAGGGATACCTAATGTTGTCTTTCCACTTCTTTTCTTTATACGATCTTCTTCTCCACTTTGTTCTTTATCCTCTCTTCACTTTATTATTGTGATGAATATATCACATAAATTATTTTTCAGTTGTTGACCTCCATGTGTTTCTTCTCTTTTTTTTTTATCTATGTATATCTTCTCTATTCACTTGACAATAGATTAAGATTACTGACTGTAATAACTAGTGAAGATGATAATGCTGAATGTGGCCAATGATTTCATTTAGAGGTTTGTGAAAAAATCGTAAATGTATGTGCTACTTATAAGCCTCATTCTTGTTGCTGTTCTCATCAGTACTTAACTATTTTTTGTCTCTCTTCAAAGAAATATACCCATAAGTATAAACATATACTACTGTATGCTTTCTTCCTATACATAATAGTATCCAAATTTTGAAACAGTGAGTAAATGCATTCTCATTGCAATATTCTAGCTGTGGATAGTATTGCCTGCTGAAACTACTTCCTGTAGTATTTCATGATTATCCTAAAGTCTGACTATTCTCCCTATCTCATATCGTTATTTGTCGCAAGCAATAGTGGTATTGAATGTAAGCCGAAGAACCATAGGCATAATTCATAACTGGATCGCATTTTAAACTCACTTGTACACTTTTCAATCGAAAGCTCCTGAAGGCACTAGTACATTCTTGGTTTCATTGTACTCTCTGAGCTGGGTTGTTTATTCATGAAGATTTCATCGTCTTTCTAAACGATATCACCAGCACTAACTTCAGTATGAAGTAACCTGTCAATATCTCTCCGTCAGTGATTTTGTAGGTTGCCTTGACGAACTGGTTTGTGATTGGTTGTTTCCTTCGATTGTTGTGTCACTGACAGACTGCATAGATTTTTCTGTTGGCTGTTGCTTTGCTTAACCTCTGACCTTTCTGTCGTTTTTTATCTTATTGGTCGACAGACTGGATCTATGTCTATACATCTGTTGATTGCTGACTGAGTGACTGGCCTGAATACCAAGCTTCTAGGAATTCTCTGATATTCTTTGTGTTTCCTCTCTACGTCCAAAATTTCTACATTGTTGAAATTGAATTCATGTCCATATTTGTTATGCATGTGCATTGAAATGAATGATGGGATGTCGTGATCTTCAATGGCCAGTTGATGTTCATGTAGACGAAGAGGGTGACCACTTTGTTCAATGTAGTGTTGACTACAGTTCTTGCAGTTGATTTTGTAAATGATATTCGGTTTGTCTTCTTTGGTTGTTGCATCCTTAACGTCGCCTGGTTAACGAGTTCTCTAGTTACTAGCCCGCCCTAAACCAGGATAAAGAGGGAAGATTGGGCATGGGGCTAGCAACCCTACCCCGTAAAGCCAATCCAATCGCTAAAGAAACTTCAAAGCACAAACAAAAAACATAAAAAATAAGAATAAACTTATTCCTCGCTAGAATCGGAGAGGTGAAATGACAACAGTTGGTGAAAGCCCTCGGTAAGCCAATTGGCCGATATGTCTTCTCTTCTCGCGATGAAAGCGAAAGCAAGCATAGGGACATGTAATGTCCGAACAACGTTTGAAGCTGACTGACAAGGCTGTCCATGTTGCCAAAGAGATAAGAAGTTATGGCATGAAAGTGATAGGAATCCGCGAAAGCAGATGGAATGGGAGTGGACTCCCCAACTCTTAACTGGAGAGTCAATAATCTACTCCGATATTGTCACCCAGACGACAACCACGAGCACACTGAGTTATGGAGTGGCCATCATAATGTCCCCAACAGCATGGAAGGCTCACTGTCATGCAGTGGAAACCAATCTCCTCCTGCAGGATCATAACAGCAAGGTTCAACTGAAAAGGAAGAAAGTCACAATTACACAGTGCTACGCTACGCAACGTACCTACAAATAGTGGAGATGAAGAGAAGAAGGAGGAATTCTACAGACAACTACAATCAACACTAGACGAGACCCCACCTCAGTTGGCGATATCAAAATTGTAATGGGCGACATGAATGTTAAAGTGGGAGGGGACAACACAGGAAGAGAACTAACCATGGGTCGAGAAGCGTTCGGTGAGGTGAAGAACGAGGATGGAGAATTGCTTGCAGAATTCTGTGCATTCAACGATTTGGTGATTGCAGTGAGGCAGTGTGTTCAAGCACAAGGATATCCACAAGGCAGCAACATGGATGGGAGAAGGTAAAAATAAAAGGCAATGATAATCAGTCAGTAAGACTAACATGAATATTGAAGCAATCAAGAAACTGAGGGAAGGATTTTGATCACGGCAAAATAAGAGAATGGACCTGCCTCTTCTGTACGCAGAAATCAGGTTTTAGTTGTTGGATTGATAACATCTCTGTTATCCTTATGTGACGAATCCGTACTCCTTTCGAGCCGTTTAGCTTTACTCTGTATCGGATTTTTAAGGAAAACTCTGGAGATGCGACATGACCAGAGCTGACTGAGTGATCCAAATGGAAGTGTTGCTTGACTTGCGTTCTTCTCTGATCAAGCACCCAGGTTGGTACTCGGAGATTTGTTTGGAAAAGCTGCACTTTCAGTGGCCTCCATAACCAGGAGTCCATACGCCATTAATGGCCGATCGGTTCAGTCCGATCAACGAGGATCAATAATTTTAAATCCTTTCTTGTTATCCACTTGATGTCTAGTGTCAACGAAGTGTGCAAGTTTAGAGCTTTTATTGTTCGAATCTGTCCCTTGTTCAACCATAACGCGTGGTGCTCAGAAATTTGACATGGGAGCTGCCTATCGTACGTCAAATGTAACTAGCTCCACAGGAGCAGGTGAACTGATAAATGCACATAGAAGTGGGAGAATCCGACAGTTTGTCCCTATTTCTTGCACTTCAATCTAGTAGTTGTAGAAGATGGGACATAATTTAGCTGCTGAAAATGCTCTTTGTAGGCCTCTTTTTATCCGTTGTGTGATGATGACCTCACGAATAATGTCACTCTTGAATTTCAGTTTCAAGAGGATTTACGTCTTAGGAACTGTTAGTATTCTTAACTTAGAATGTATAACAGTGATATGCTTGGTTAGGAACTACACTGGATAGCCATTCCTACTAAGTAGGTCATGAATGGTGACGAACTCTTCCCTCATAATATCACCAGAGCAAATGGTCAAGGCACAATATGCTATGCATTCTACCAGGTTCCGCTTGTGCTTCAAGGGTATGGCACCAAGAAAGTAAGTGTACTGACCTGTTGATGTTGGGTTTCTATATGTACTTCGCTTCAGATTTCCATCTAACCTACCTACCAGCAGAAAACCGAGAAATGGGATACTCTCATTTCGCTCTTCATCTGTTGTGAATTTAACTGCCAGACGAACACTATCATTCGTGTAAGGATAATATAATTCCAACCGGCTGACTGTACGGAATTACTGATTCTGTTTCTTCTATTCAAATATGATTCGAATATTTTGTTACTAGCTTCCCTAACGTCCATCACCTTTTGACCATCCCTGGTTTGTTGAAAGAAACCTCAGCACCTAAATGTGTTCTCATTACATCCTATCAATTACGTGCTGTCTGTTTCTACGAAGTTACATATATATCTGTAACAGCTTTCCCGAAAACCACTGCAAAGTTATCACTTATAGATACCATTAGATACCCAGTAAATCCTTGAATCTATTGAAGCATTCTAAAAATCTGGAGTAGAAACAAAATGTTTATTTCAAGCTACTAGGATAGCTGCTATTTTGTCGTGGTGGTTGAGTTTGGATATCACAAATACCCAATGGGTTACACTGGCTAGAACGCTTACTTCTTGAGGTCATGTAACCTGAGAAAGATCCATTTGGTAGTACCAAGACAAAAAGCAGTCACTTTTATAATATAAGTAGCTCCAGTACGATGTGGATCTGAGAGCGAAATCATACTGCTGTGCTAACGGGGGTGCTGATGCTGCTTTCCACACAGGAAGAGAAGGTAGAGTTAGAAAAGATCAAGTCAAAAACAGAATACTGCTCTCTGTCTTGCGGTATTTCGGTACGGATGACATTAACTTTTCTTATCTAGTGGTAGTCCATTTAAATTTCAATCCTAATCTACCAAAAAGACTATCTGCGACTGACGTCAGACAATGAGCTATGGGCTTTGCAAACATGCAACACTATTTGTAATCCATTTTCGCTTCCATGTACTTTGCGGGAACAAATTCCATGGTGTGAGAAGCTGGGAAGTACCTATGGATCGTATACTTCCAACAGTATACAAAACATAACTAATTGTAACCTACCTACCTTAGGTTTATCCTCTGGTTTGCCTTCACTTCCTAATACTGACATCAAGCACCTTAGGTCTTTCTTGAATGCTCACCCTAAGAACATTTTTAGCGATCCAGGCCATTA